TATTTCATTCGAGAAATAATCTCACTAAATACCACTCGAGCTTTAAAATTGACCATATAATTTTTCACTCTGGCATGTTTTCCTTACAAATTTCACTCGTCCTTCGGACTCGTGAAATTATGGAAAACATGCAATCGTGAAAAATGATCGGTAATTTCAAAGCTCTCGTGGTATTAGCCCCGATAATATTAAAAGCATTTTGATTATAGTCTTATTCTAACAGTTGCAACAGTGGCCGGTCTCTAGAGCGCGATGTGGCAAAGATTCGCCACGAATTAGCGATAGTTTCAAGGCTACAAGAAAACATTCTTCGTTTGGGTGCACGCCATCCTTCATTGGCCACATTCGCACCGTTTTGTCGCCGCCCAATTTCACGTCAATTTAACAACAATAAATTGCACAAACCGTGTGTGTAGTCTTTGACTTGGTTGACTGGACGTGAGGCTCAATTGAGCCGATGCCGTTCTTCACACGAACACTTTTTGCACGATTTCTTCGAGTTATTCATCCTCTCAGGCCGTTGATCTCCATCAGCACACAATCTAATCAGGTATTCTGGTAGCGATCCGCAGAAGTGTGTTACTTGCGCAACCATTGTTCTACCACCCATTGAAGATATGGATTTATTAGGCATTCAACTGGAGGAAGGTTTCCGGCCTTTTCATCATTAAACCGATGCCATCGTCTCAATTGTTATAGTAAACACCTTTCGCCTCTTTTCAGGTATGTTCTAGTCCCAGAAAAAAACACGCTCCACTCGCCGTCGCCCAAGTTTGTGCCGCTGGACTCGCCCTTCGCCAGGGCGCCCAACCCCACACACCCGCCGCTGTTCGCCGCCATTCTACGCAGGACAACAGGAATCAAAGTGCTCGAATGCCACGCCTTTATCTGCAAGCGGGAGGTGGCCGCCAACGCTTTGGTAAGCGCTGAAAATGGGGGAATTTGGGGGAGAAGATCAGAATCAGGGAGAAATGAGCTGAAAGGTGTTTTGGGGTGGAACTGCCCAAGGCCTGGGCAGGGGCGGATCCAGCTTC